TTCCCATCCTGTGACTTCCTCCCAGCTGCAGGCTTTGCAGAGATATTCAGGGAGGATGCTGGACTCCAGCTAGCAGGGTTGCACAGCCACAGACTGGGAACAGAGGAGCTCAGCCCTTCCAAATCTTGCCTTTTGTTCTCTGTCAGAGAGCTGTGCTGGCCCAACTAAAAGAGAGGTCCCGTCCACACCTTGGAAGTTTCTGTGGAGAGGTGCTCTGTTCCCTCTGTGTCTGTCTGTACTGAATCACGGGGATGGGGCCTGGAGAGGTCTGTGAATTACCAGAGCATGTCTGTCCACACAGTGTGTCCCTGCAGTGGATTGGCAATAGCCCCCACCGGGCGTGTTTTGGCAATAAATTAATCAAACTGGTGAAGCTCCTACATGACTTCTCATGAGCAGACTCCAAATGGAGGATGAATATTAATGCCCAGCCAAAGAGGAAGAGTCCCAGGCCTGCCATGGCTGGCAATAGGGCAACCATGGAGCTGTTTTTCCTTCCCTCCCCAGCACCCTGGTAAATGTACCCAGTGCTGCCCAGGGCAAACTGGGTGTCTGCCGGGCTGGGGACCTGCTGTGACACACAGTGGGATGCTTGGTGCTGGGAAGGGGAAGGCAGCTGGTCTGGGTGCTGCAGAGAGCATCCAGTTGCTGGTGTTGGCCACAGGGATAATTTATTTAATGGCCTTGCTAATTACAGTGGGAGTTGGGAAGTCATCTGTGGAATTCCCAAAGACAGCCCTGCATCTTCTGGGCCTGGCTGGAAGTAGAGCCTGAAGGGGAGAGACAAAAACTCAGAAACATCAACTTTTTTTTTCCTCTTTTGATTTTTTTCATCTTCCCCCCCCCATATGATGCTATCAGCTGGGGCCTGCAGAGTTTCAGCTTGAAAACAAACCGCTTTTATTTAAAGTGCCAATATTGTGCTTGGCTCCATATGAGACAGAAACATCAACTTTGTCTCTGACCTGGGGAGCGTGTCTGCTTGCCTAGCAGGCACTGAAAGTGTTGAGAAAACTGTTATTTTACTTCTATTTTGGTGGTGATTTTTTTAAAAATATGATTTTTTATTAATTTCATTTTATTTTAATGGAGCATTCACTCTTCAGCAGAGCACCAGAGCCTGCAGAGCACGGAGCCATCTCCTGTGTCTGCATGGAACCTTGTCCCTGCTGTCAGCCTGGGCACACAGGAGCTGCCTGGGCTGGGGGCAGAGGAGGGCAGCTGTCCTGGCATCCCTGTGCCCGGGTGGTGGGACTGGATCTGCTGTGTCCTGGCTGGTGATGCTGCCTGGTGGGTTTTCTGGTTGTTGTTTCTAGGCGAGGTTTGCAAAAGGTCACAAAAATTAATCTTCTAACTGGAGACCTTGGCACTGCGAGGAAGGAATGTTTTGCATTAACAACCTAACTCGTTAATTCAGTGAAACATTTAAAACCAAACCAGTTATATCCAGCCAAGCTGGAAAAAGCTGAAAGTTCATACTCAGCAGTGCAGATTTCGAAACCTCCCTTTGTTAATCTCTGCAGAAGTAAATTTTCTGCAATTGCAAAGCTCACTGTGACCAGTCTGGGCATTGTTTCCCTCAGTGGAGGCAAAGCTGCTCTGCAGAGGGTTGGTGGTGTGTACCTGGAGCTGCCCATGAGGACGGGAGGGCTCCTGTGTTGGGAGGAAAGAGGGTTTTTTTGGGGAGCGTTACAGGAGGGGGTTGATCATACCAGTGCTGTAGGTTTAGGACTGTCTCTGGCAGAAGTGCTGTGTTGTTCTCATGGATTGGGATGATGGATTTCACAGCTTCCATCTTCCTCCTCTGGTGTGATTTTCTGCATTGCATGTGGCCAAAATAGCCTTTGGTCCACCTTTCCTTCCAGCATTAGTTTCTCGGTGAGCATCACAGAGAATTGGTTTGACTCTGCTTTAAGTCAGCCTTCCCTCAAATTTCCAACAGCAGTGACAGGTTTAGGTGTGCTGGTCATTTGCTCTGCTTACTCTGCTACCTCACCATGAAATTAGCAGGTATAAATGAAATAAGAACCATGAATTTAAGTACAATCTTTCTGTCTTCCTGGCTGCCAGGTAGCTAATGGCTCATTGCTCCAGTTAATCATAAAATAATACATAGGAAATGGAGTTCTTCACTCATGGCTGTGCAGATGGGTCTGAGGCATCTGCAGTGGTGGTTTATGTACTGAGATCAGTTGTAAAGATGTTTTTCAACTGATTAATTTTACTCCCATTAATTTATCCTATCCATTAAAACAGTCTCACTTATTTTAATGGTGAAGAAATAGGTGAATTATCAATTCTGTTACGTATTAGCAGTGTATTAAAGTATTAAGTGCATTCCAGAAGGTGAGCAGTGAATAAAACACACTCCCAACATGTGGTTATGCAACTGTTCCATGGAAATGAAATGGACGAACAGTACACTTGATTAATTTTTTTTTTTCTCCAGTAAATTGCCACTGTGATTCACTTCCAGCTAAATTTGCAATCTGTGTTCTCAGGTGGCATTAATATTGGAGCCCCGCAGGAGAGCCGCGGCGGCTGGGGCTGCTTTGATTGCATTTTTAAGGAAAGTTGTTGGAGGGAGCACAGGGCTTGATGCAAATGTGCTGGTAAATGAAATGCAGAGCTTTTAGGTTCTCTGTAGGTGGGTCAGGCCATTCACATTTACTCAAAATAATAGCAGTGGAGTGCTCGGGAGAGGCACTTTGTTAACGGGGCACAATGGGGGTCTTTGTGTATCACTGGTGCCCTGTATCAAATTTACTCTGCTGACAGATAAAAATCATCTTTTTTGATATCTGGTGACTCCATAAACACTGGGTAAGATCGGTCTGGGACTTGAGCTGTTTCAGTAATGGAGACTCTGGAACTGGATCTCTATCTGGAGTTTGCTTGAAAGGAAAAAGCTTGCAGAGGGCCCAGCAGCCTCTCCCTGTGTCAAAGCTGCAGGATAAAATGAAATAAGAATTCTCTTTTACCGTGGCTTCCCTGATATGGAACTTCTCTCAACTGTATTTTGTAGCTTTCAGGCTGGTCTTATTGTTTTTTCCTTAATTGACTCGGCTTGGAAAGGTCACTGCACCCTGCTAGACTGTGTAATATTTAACTTAGCATCAAAAATGAGGATCTCAGGATTGGTGTCAAATGGATGCTGTTCCCCTCTGAATAGCACAGTCCATTCATAGTCATCCAAGTATTCCACTTGCTAATGCTAATGGATAACTTTCTGGCCCTCTGCAGAGGGAAGGACTAACCACAGGAAGGTGGGATGAGAGCAGCATAAAGCAGGTATTGAGACGTGCAGTCCTCGCTGTCTAAATCCAGCTCACAGCTTTAATACCTGTTTTATTTATAGATATTTTTTAAAAAGTTGTAATTTCTAGCCCTTCACAAAGCTTTAGCATAGCAAGCAGTCTTTTCTGATGCCAAGTTCAGTGATGACTAACACTATTTACAGGACTGTTTTGTAATCTCAGATCAGCCCACATTGACGGGAAGTTGCGTTTTCCCATCAGTCTTTCAAACGGTGCTGGAGAGTTGCTGAGGCCAGAGCTGGCTATCCAGGCTCTCCCGTTTGGAGAAAATGATGCCAGCTTTCAGAACAATTTAAAAAAAAAAAATCCAGTAAAGTTGGGGAGGTCAAATTGTACTTCCTCCGTTTGATTTTTTTTTTTTTCATAAGGACCTTTCATTCCTCTGTTCTAAAAACTACTGACAAAACTAAGCACAGGAGGTATTGCATAAGCACCACCAAGTCATTTGCCCGATCTGCATTTCTCAGTGCATGAGATCAGCTCCAAATATCTGATCTGAGAAAGCTACTGGTACACAACTGGTGTAACTGATAGGAGTTACCTCTGTGAGTCATCTCCTAGGATGGTAAGTAATTTTTTTTTTTTTGAGTTCAAGTTTTTATGAGTGTTTTTTTAAAGCTCTGTTACTGTAAATCCCAGAAAAATCTGGCACGGAGTCTTTGTAGTATGAATCAGTGTGTCCATGTGCTTCCAAGTGACCTTGCAGTCTGGAAAAATACTGTTTTATCCCTCTGTTTAAGAGAAAAAAAAAAAAAAGCAGAGTTGCTGTAGAAAAGGTTGATAGAGGGGTGTCACCAGGCAAGTGATTCCTGGTGCCAGCTACAGCAGCTTTGCTGCCCTTGGGTCATGATCTCAGGCACAGAGCAATCACTGTGCACACGTGGAGGCTACATCAGGCCAGGAGTAAGGTCATGGCTAATGCCCCGGCCAGCCCTGGCCTTCCACAGGCTGGAGCAGTTTGGGATCTGCTTTAGTTAGTTTCAGGGAAAAAAGAACACCAAACAAAAACAAAAGAGAAAATATTATTCCTTTTCTGTTTGTTTGTTTGTTTGTTTGGGGTTTTGTTTGTTTTTTAAATGTATTAAATCTCTGGTCACCCCAAGCGCAGCAAGATGGGCTTGCCTTAACAAGGAGTTACACTTTCTTAGGGAATATCCCCAGTGCATTGAGTGGTGTGAGTGCCAAAAGCTGCAGAGGTGGTGGGAGGGGAAGGCTGGGAGCCAGGAACATTGTGATGCTGCCCTTGAGTTTTGGAGCCTCTACCTTCTCTTGCAGCTCCAGATGAAGACTCACAGATGCTGTTGAAACAGTAATGAAGTGTGCACAGGGTGGGCAGGGAATCTCCCAAATGCTTTGTAGGCTTGCTGAGCAGGGAGAGCTAAAAGATGTGTTCCGGTGTGCAGCCCCCTCGCTCCTGCAGCAGAGCTCCGGTGTCTGCAGGCAGAGGCTCTTGGCACAGGCACAGTGCTTTGAGCTGGCGAGAAACTTCCCAACGGGATGGGTGGAAAATGCTGATTTTGAAGAAATTGAAGTGTTCTGTGGGGAATGTGTGGATTTTTCATTAGGTTTTTCTGATGGAAAACAGGCGGCTTTTCCAGGTGCCCTTGCCTGGTATCACCTCCTGTGTGGGGCTGAGCTGGGACCCCAGGCACACAGGGAGCCCGGGCACTGCTCTCCCTGCCAAAACACCAAAGATGGGTCATGGCAGGGCAGGGTGAGTGGAAAATTCAGTGGTTTTCCTCCTCAAATGAGAATTTGATGCAGGCTGTAAAAGAGGCATGTTTATTTTTAAACAGGTAATTCATAGGCTGTAGGTGTGAAAATACAGTAAATCCAAGGTCAAGTTAAATTTTTCAAGCAAAAGTGGCTGAAAAATGATTTATTGAGGGAAACAGTTAAATACCAGGACAGTTGTGCTTTGTCAAATGCCAGAGGAACTAACCCCTTCTTCTCCTTGTCCTCAGGTTCGGTGGCAAATATGAACATTTGTCAACATTTGACAACAGCTCCTTCTGACATCATGAATCTACTGGAATCCGGACCGCAGAGCACTTACAATAGCGCTTTTTAAATTTGAATTTAATTTAAATGAAAAAAAAGTAATCATCTGGATCAATCATCGTGATGGCTAGCAAAAGGAAATCCACAACTCCCTGCATGATACCAGTGAAAACACTGGTGCTTCAGGAGACCGAGCAGGACGCTGTGGAAGATGATCATGAAGGAACACAGCAAGAGGCTCCCGTGGAAGGGCCGGCGGCGAGCGATGCTGGTGCCAGTAACAGCAGCAGTGGAGCTTTGTCCAACGGGCACCGCGGTGCTGCCGACAGCGACACTTACATCTGCAAGTCTTGCGACTTTGGATCCCAGGACGTTCATCAGTTCTTCGGGCACTTGGACTCCGAGCACTCGGACTTTGGCAAAGACCCCGCGTTCGCGTGTGTGCCGTGCGGCTTCCTGGCCAACAGCCACGAGGGGCTCTCGCACCACAACGCGGAGTCGCACGGCGGCGAGACGGGCTTTGTCTGGAGGGTGGCTAAGCAGGACGGCCGTACCACCGTGGAGCAGAGTCTCTGTGAGGCCACCAGCAGCCATGACCTCCCAGGAGAGGTTCCTGAAGAAGGGGCAGACGGCCAGTCTGAAATCATCATTACCAAAACCCCCATCATGAAGATAATGAAAGGTAAACCCGAGGCCAAAAAAATCCACACGCTGAAGGAGAGTGTGTCAAGTCAGTTGGGCGGTGAGTCAGAGGTGAAGGATGGGGAGCATTCGTTCCCAAACGGGTCCGTGCCAGTCAGTCAGCCCACTGCAAGTTCAGCAAAGTCATCCCACATAGTCAATGGCTCCATCATAGGAAACGTGCCCGTTCTGCAGGCAGGGGTTGCACAACTTGTGTCGCTGCAGCAGCAACCCCCGTTACATCAGCAGCTGCCTACATCCAAGTCCCTTCCCAAGGTGATGATTCCCCTGAGCAGCATTCCAACGTACAATGCCGCCATGGACTCCAACAGCTTCCTGAAAAACTCTTTCCACAAGTTTCCCTATCCCACCAAAGCTGAGCTCTGCTACTTGACTGTGGTGACCAAGTACCCAGAAGAGCAGCTGAAGATCTGGTTCACAGCACAGAGGCTGAAGCAGGGCATCAGCTGGTCACCGGAGGAGATCGAAGATGCCAGGAAGAAGATGTTCAACACTGTTATTCAGTCCGTGCCACAACCCACCATTACAGTTTTGAACACCCCGCTGGTTGCAAATCCCGGGAGTGTCCCCCATCTTATCCAGGCAACGTTACCAGGCCACGTGGTGGGGCAACCAGAGGGGACGGGGGGGCTGCTGGTCACGCAGCCCATCATGGCAAATGGGTTGAAGGGCACCAGCTCCTCCTTCACCTTGGCAGTGACTTCTGTCCCCAAGCCGCAGCCGGCGGCGCAGCACAGCACCGTGAGCTCCAGCAGCGCCTCGGGGGTGAAGGTGGTCAACAGCGCCCAGTCGCTGCTCACCGCCTGCCCCGCCATCTCCTCGCAGACCTTCCTGGATCCCAATGTCTACAAAAACAAGAAGTCCCACGAGCAGCTCTCAGCCCTTAAAGGCAGCTTCTGCAGAAACCAGTTTCCCGTCAAGGCTGAAGTGGAGCGGCTGACAAAGATACGCTTTGTCCACCAAGGAGATCGAAAATGGTTTCAGCGATAGGAGGTACCACTACAGGAACGTGAGAGGCGGCCGGGCCGTCTTCCCTGGAGACAGTGCTCTTGATTCCCTGCCCGAAATCACCTTCGATGTGTCCCCGCCAGAGGAGCTGAGCTGAGCCCCGCGGCGGCGGCGGCCACGCCGGCCCCTCAGCACCCGCCGCGACGGCAGTCGTGGCACCAGGCGCCCGACTTCACCCCAACCAAATACAAGGAGCGGGCACCGGAGCAGCTGAAGGCCCTAGAGAGCAGTTTTGCCCAAAATCCTCTTCCTGCAGAGGAAGAGGTGAACCGCCTGAGGGGGGAAACGAAGATGACACGGAGGGAAATCGACAGCTGGTTCTCGGAGAGGAGGAAGAAGAAGGTGGCGGAGGAAAACAAGAAAGTGGAAGAGGCGACTCAGCAGGAAGAGGAGGAGGCGGAGAATGGCGGCGGGGAAGGGGAGGACTCCTCCGATGAGCAGAGAGCTGCGAGTGAAAACGGCTCAGTCGACGCCTCCGGCAACAACATGAACTCAGCAGAGCGGAAGGTGAGTCCCATCAAAATCAACCTGAAGAACCTGCGAGTGACCGAGTCCAACGGCAAAAACGAGGTACCGGGGACCGGCGCAAACGAGAAGGGGGAAGGCAGCTCCAGCCGGCCGCCCACCCCTCCCAAAACCAAACTGAACTTCAAAAAAACGGCCCAGCAGCGGCATCTGCTGAAGCAAATGTTCGTGCAGACCCAGCGTCCCACGAACCAGGAGTATGACGCCATCGTGTCCCAGACGGGCCTGCCGCGGGCCGAGGTCATTCGCTGGTCGGGGACAGCGTACGGCTACAAGAACGGGCAGCTCAAGTGGTATGAGAACTACCGGCGGGGGGTCTTCCCCCCGGGGCTGGTGGAGGTCAGCCCTGCCAGCAGGGAGGTGCTGGAGGACTACTACGAGAAGCACAAGGGGCTGCGGGAGGAGGACGTGCCCGGCCTGTGCGAGCGCTCCCGCCTCGGCGCCCAGCAGCTCAAGGTGTGGTTTGCCATGAAGCAGAGAGGAGGCAGGGGCTCTGGCTCGGAGGAGGCCTGTGCCGGCAGGGCCGCGGGGAGCCGCAAAGGGCCGAGCGAAGCCGGCGCGGAGGCGTCGGAGAGCAGCGAGGCGTGGGAGCCGGTCGGCCCGGAGGGCAGCGCAGGCCCCCGACGCCCCCGGCCGCGGCCCGCCACGCGGCTGGGTAAGGCCCCTGCCTCAGCAGGGCTGGCTCCGTGGGGGAATGGGGTGGCCGTGGGGCACTGGACCTCTCCCACTGGGGAAACAGGCTTCAGGGAAGGGTTTAGTATTTGAGATTTAACTGAGGAAGCGGTGAGGAACTCTCCTGTGAAAGAAGGGGGGAAAGGAAGGAGGATGAGGAGGGTCAGGCGGGGTGACATAAGTGCCACTGCCTGCCTGCCCCTTTCTGCCTCGGTCACTGGGTGCTGACACCACTCAGAAACCAAATCTTGGCTTTATCTCAAGCCTAAGTAAAACAGCAGGAGTGTCTGGTCCTTTTACCTGCCCTGTGGGAAAGTTGCCCATGGATTTATGAAGGGGATAGGTGTTTGGGAAGGAAGGGGCCTGGCTACTTGTCCCATGCCACTAGCTCCTTCCTTATACCCCCCTGGGCTTGGGCAGTAGACAGAACCCCTACTTACCCTTCCCTCTCCCGCTGCCAACTCCTCAGGTGTGAGCATCCTTGTTGGCATGGAGCAAGGCTCGGGTAGTGAAGGTGGAGGGTGCAAGAGGGGAGAGGACATGGAGGGCTGGTGCTCCCAGCTGCTGGTCATACCCCTTCTCCAGGACTCACTTTTGGAAGGCGTGTGTGTGGAGAAGAGGTGCTTTCCAAGCCCTCTGTGGGCTCTTCCGTAGTGCAGCTGGGGGCCATTTCCTCCCTGGCAAAGTTCTCACCAGATGGGGATGGCCAAGTGCTGGCCCCATCCCACCATGGTCCACACATGCAGCCCCTTGCTGGTCAGCTGGGATCTTGTCTGGCCTCACTGCCTTGCTTTGAGGCTCTGCCATGGCTGCAGGCCTTAGAAAAAAATTTGTAAAAATCAGGTAAAATTCATGGCTTCCCTTCTCCATCTAATTTGGAGGAGGTGGATCGTGGGTTTCGGAGGGCCCTGCTCTTCCTGCAGCTGCTGGGTCTGGCTGTGCATCACCACCCCATGTGCTTTGCTAGGGAGCTGTGGGTTTGGGGACGGGTGGTGGACCAGCTTTTGTACCTGTGCCAGGGAGGTGCCCCTGCAAGCACCCTCTGGGCATGGCTTTATGCCACCCAGAGTGAGGTGGTCCCGTCATCCCTCATGGCACAGAGGCAGGAGGTGCTCGGCAAGGGTGTGCACAGCTTTGGGCTGCTGCAGGCTGCATCCCTCCTTAGCCCTGCCAGCTCCACTTCCACAGGATTTTGTGTTTCCTGGCCCCTCTGAGTGGGGCTGTCCTTTTCTGCAGCTGACTCTGTCAAGGCTCCCAATTTTGCCCATCCTGAGGCACTTCTGCCCCCCTTCCTCCCCATCCAGCATCCCACCTGGGTTGCAGGCCCTCACAGCGGGCTGGAGCATCTGACACCTCTGTTCTTTTTCAGAAACAGAGTGAACTGAAACCACCAGCCCTGGAGGATCCGCTCTTACCCTCGAGAAGAAATGTGTGATCTTTAAGCAACCCACGGGCCGGCCTGATCCAAACCTGGGGAGCAGGACGTGGTGACGAAGCACTGCCATAAATGAGACCTTTGGGCACAGCACACGAGACAGCACGTGCACAGACTGGGCCCTCGGTGCCGAGCTCTCGTGGCCCAGCCGGGGACTTGGCCAAGGGCTGCCCGAGGCGGGGGCTCGGCTCGCCCCCGGGAAATAGGATGCTCCTGTTTGCTTTCCAGTGACAGACTTTCAGATTTCATATTCATATACCGATGCCTACAGCTGCCTATACAAGCATAACGAATCTCAGACATTGTGTATACAAGGTCGTTGCTTAGATATGGACTATCATGGCATAGTACTTGTTTCTTGTTTCTTTTTTTTTTTCATCTGTCCGTTAAGGTGTTTGTTCTCTAAAGGTTGGCATGGCTGCATATATCCTCTCTGCCCCTTCTGGTCCTGGCAGTGAAGGGCTTTGTGGGCAAACAAATGCATGTGTTAGGAGAGGGATCTGAGAAGAAAACTGCCAGTCTTGAATTTAAGTTGAGCAAGATTCTTAATCCCTACAGATGAGGTTAGAGTCAGCCTTGTTCTGATAAATAGCGGGTTCCCAGACCCAGGCAGCCCAGGAGTTTGGTGTCATTTTGTCCCTTGCTGGCTAGAACACTTTCCCCTGTGTTCCTGGAGACTGACTGTAGCAGGCTATTAAATCTCCAAGTCTCTCTTTAATCACTGAGAACTAGCACATAATAATTTTTGCATCCTGACCTGGAATCCTTTTCATTGTTCAGAGAGAACAGGCTGTTCTTCAGAGAACAAACACAGGGAATCGCAGCGTGGCTGTGAGTGGTTCAAGTCATTTTTGTCTCCAAGGGATGGCGAGGCAGCAGCTCTGCTGCAGTCAGGAAGTTTCCTTCTTGCAGCCCTACATGGCAGATCCTCCTGGAGCACTGCTGGTGACTTCAAGTGTTTGTTCCAGTCTTTTTTTTTTTTTTTTCCTTTTTCCAGGCCATGTGCAATGTTTCTGGCAAAATAGCAAAATAAATTTCCGGGTTAACCTGCCTGCTGCCTGGTACCTGTACATTTTTAATGTGTGTTGTCCTGGGTGGTTGCTGTGTGATGCAACTGCTTGAAGGTGTTTTTTTTTTTAAATATCCTTTGCTAATAGAAAACAAGGCCTAGAAGGGAAACTCTTGAGCTGGATAGTCCAGCCAAATGCTGTGTCAGACCATTCTGTCACAAACTAATCAAATCCCAGCTCCAAATTGGTTCCATGTCTTGCCTTCACTTTTGCTCTTGGAAGGCTCTTCCAGAACTTCACTGCCTTTGAGTGGTTAGAAACTTTATTTAAATTTCTAGTTTGAATTAATTCGTGGCTGGTTCATTGCTGGTTTGTTTTGGAGCCAACATTGTCCTTTAACTTAAATAGTTTCGGTGTTTATCCGCTGATGTATTTATGGAGAGTAGTCATAGCTCCTTATTTTTGCCAAGCCAACTCAACCAAGCTTTTTCAGTAGAAGTTTTTTATTTAGTGAGAGCTTTTTAATGTGGGAGACTTTATTGTTAGTGGTAAATGATATTTATTAGGAGGGTGGGTAGCAAACCCTGAAGGATCGGATCCAGAGATTTACAAAAAATCTGGTTTAAAAACAAAAAAGCTCTTTCAGAACCTCTTCCAAAGATGGTGTCTGATTTCTACCTTTAATTGCCCTTGCTTTTGCAATTCTTTCTTTGTCCCCTCTTTGAGGCTGCCTTGCTCAGCTGCTGGAAGGGGCTGTATCTGCTCAGTGTTTTGGCAGAGGGGCTTCCCCTCGCCCGGCGGGACATGCTGGGTGCCTGTGCCTGAGTTCGTGGGGCTCCCTGGCACACAGGGATGATCCCTGTGGCCAAGTGTGACCATCTGCTTCAGATGGAGGTGACCTGCACCCCAGAGAGCTGGGGTGATGTTTTGGATGCACCCACTCACACTGTGCCCATCCCATAGCAGTGAGATGGACCATCCCCACCATGCTCTGAGCAGGGGTGGCACCAGAGCACCCTGACCCAGAGCACCCTGCTGTGGCACCAGGCTCCCTAAATGTCTCTTTAGAAGCATTGCTGATGGTCATGGCATGGTTGGAGGTGTGACCAGCAGCCATCCCACCTTGGCTTCGTGTTGGCTCATCCCCACTGCTCCCCTTGGGGGTGGCTGCACTGCCAGAGCCCCAGGGGTTTGCCTTCATGGGTGCAATCCTGCACACCCTAAAATATCACAGGTGATGGGAGAATCTGGGTGGGGCTAGAGGTGGAAAGCAGATCTGTGAGTCGTGTGGCCTTAGGGGGTGTATGTGCAGTGCCACCTTCAGAGAACAAATACAGGTAGGTCAATTTACTCTGTAGTGTCTATGTACATGCAGGTTTATTTAAGTACACATATATACAGTTCAGATATGCCATTGATTCTTTATTGCATTAAGATGTACATTAAAAATGTACACTTTTACTAACTACTTGCTATATAAATATGTTGGAAGTGTAGTTTGCCCATTCAAGGTGATTTTCTGTGGGATTTTTGGTGTACACTTAAAGGCCTATGGCTAATTGGAAGAGTGATTCCCCACTCCATCTACAGAAATGCTTAAGGACTGTGGTATGAACTGGTCCCTTCAAACCACGTTTCCATGCACTAGCTGAAATATTTTGCACTTGGATTATATTCAGCCAGTTTTCCAGAAAAATTGAAAAGAAATCTTGTGAGCTAGAGGGAGAATTTCCCGGTGTACACAGAAAAAACAGCCTTGAGGGTTGGAAGCTGCTGAGGTTTTTGAGCTTTGTCTCCATGCATTCATACAAGCACAGCAGGAGTTTTCTTTCTTTTGGGTCAAAGGAATTTTAAAAAGTGGTTCCATGCAGACTCCCCTCGGACGTGGCGACGGGGCTGGCAAACGCCACTGCGTGGGGAGGGTGAGATTTAGAGACAAAAAAAAGTCAAAAAGTGATCGAGTTCCCTTTCTACTCCTACATTCCTTGTTATCTGCATTTTTTAGTTGACTTGAAATCTCCATAAAAGTATAAGCTGAAGATTTCTGAGGGTTTAGCTCTGTGGTCCCGCTTCTCTGTTGAGAAGGAGAAGCAGGTGCCATCTCCAGACAGACTTGGGTTTTGGTGCAGGACATTGGAGATGTGTTTGCATCCAGAACTGAAAGGAAAAATTGAGAGGTGGCTTGACAGTCCCAGCAGCAGCTCTTGTGGTGTTAAGAGGAAGTGTCACCACAATTCTACACAGTGTGTGAATATTTATCATCATCTAATCAAAGATGACTATCTTGACTTGAAAGGAGGGGTGTAAGACCGAGGTGATGTAGCCAGCATCAGTAAGGAAGGGAAATTATATTCTCCACCTCCATCGGCTCTGTCTGAGCTCGGGCTTGGCAGGCACAGCAGTAACCATCATTTTTAATCCATGTGAATCTTGTTACTTATGTCTCTGAGACTGCTTAGATTAAGGGCACAATCCAATTGCTTAATAACCCGAAACCCTGATTTGTGCCAGCCTTAGACATGGCTCCGTGTTTCATTTGGGTACCTTATTTTTCAGGTCCTTAATTAGCATCCTGGAAATCATTCTTTTTTTTTTTTCTTTTTTTTTTTTAAAGCAGGACACTAAACCAACCATAATCTACAGGTTCCTATTTCCACTTGCCTGAGAGGCTGATGGACACCAGGCCTGCATCTGGTGGGAGGATGGGCACAGCTGATTGGAGGTATTTTGTGTGGCTTCATGTCCCCTCCCTGCCAGGGATTTGTGTTGGTCACCATGAGAAGCAACCAGCAAAAGCAGCAGCTGCTACAGCTGAAACCCTTTACCTGGCTGGAGCTGCAAGATACCTGCTTGGTTAATTTTTGCTAAGTGTCCCTTGACTGTTCAGGAAAAGAAGGAAACTGTAGAAGGCAGGTTTTACATTCAGGGTTTTGTGTTTTTTGGTTTTTTGTTGTTTTGTTTGTTTTTTTTTTAAATTGAAAAGCAACAGTTTGATCACATGGAGGAGTGTTGTATTCTGTCTTCCCTGCAGCCCCTCTCTCTTAGAGATGTAACAGAGACAGACTGGAAGCTGGATCACTGGGAATCAGAAGAGAGAGATGATTTTCAGCACTTAGGCACAAATTACAGTGTTGACAGTATTTTAAATATTTGTAAACTTCTGTCTCCAGTTACCCTGATAACTTTGGCTTTGCTCTTTTCAAATTGATCAGGGGCCTGATGTGATTCAGCTCACCTGCAACCACTGGTGTCAAGACCCAGCTGATCCCCAAAACAGCAGGGAAGATTAGGCAACACTTCACAGGGAGAGGGATGAGGCACTTGCAGGCTCTCCCTTTTTTTTTTTTTTTTTTTTTAAATTGGGAGGTTTAGTTTCTGCTCTGTTTTACTGGCAGTGGTCCTGCCAGGAGTGCTGGATTGGCATCACAAACTTTAGGGCAGACCAAGGGAGCTCTGTTACCTAAGCAGTGAATTTTTTTTTTTTTTTAATTTTGGGTTTTCTGGTTATTGCCCAAGTGCTCTGTTTGCTGACATTGGCCATATTTTGATGGCACAATTAAAGCCCCTTTTTACCTGCACTGATGGAGGGCAGTGTTAGGAGGACTCTTGCTTACTGGTGCTAGTGAGGGTTGGGCTAGGAATCCATGGCATAGAAAACTTCTAGCTAAAATTGCACTTTCTCTCTGCCCCATCTGGCTCGTGGTGGTGTTATGGGTACGTGGCTGTGATTCCCCTTGCACATACTAACATTGCACTAAAAGAGAGACTTTGGGAACAGCGTGTTGATCACTTTGTTTCTCAGCAGACCACAAAGTCAGCCTAATGGGGTCTCTTTTTTTTTTTTTTTTTTTTTTTTTAATTATTGTTATTTAGAAATCACGCTGGTGCTGAATGACCTGGAATTTTTGCTTGGATTTATCCAAAGGAAAATGTAATTGTAGCTGCAACGGGACCTTTCATAAGGGTGTCCTTGCAGTGAGGGAGCAGAGCGAGGGCTCTGCTGTGTAAACCGTCTTTGTACTGGGGAGGTGTGGGGGGTTCCAGTGGGGTTGTTACTGTGTTTTTTTTCAAGACCACAATTTTAAATGGCCACTTTGGCAATCGTGTGAAACAGGAAATAGTTTTTACTTTTGGTAAAGGTTTTAAAGAGGGAAAAATTTAAAGTGAAGCTGCCTGTGATTGTGGGCTGTAGCTATTATTAGGGCTAGGGTAGCTTGTACCTGCTATGGACTTTACCTGCTCTTATTCTGAGGGCAAGAACTCCCTGTAGCAACAATGCCACTTCTGAGAAGTGAATGGCAAGTTTCCCTTCCTTTTGTATATGTGGATGTGAGGGTGGGCGAGGGGAAGAGCTTGCTTGTACAGTTTGTTGAAATGAAACCAGACATTTTTGGTTGTTCCTAAATAAAGAGCGTAAAAGACAAGCATGAGTTGACTGGTGCTTGCACTGGGGTCTGGGGAGGCCCGTGGTGATGCCCTTAAGCCCAGGGCATCACAGCAGGAGCTGCCCCACGTGGAGAGGGCTGGGAATGCTTGATCACAACCTTCCCATTTGTTTTAAGAGTACAATGGGGCAAGGCCACGAGTGAGTGACCCAGCAACATGCTGAGCTCAGACACCTCTGTCCTGGGAGCTCTTCTTCATCCTGGAGTTCTTGTCCCCAGGCTGGCTCAGAACTGCATGGCCAGTGGTAGCACATGACCTCGTTTTACCCTTTTGAATGAAAACATTAAACCTGATGCTGCTGCTTATTATTTTTCCCCTCAGCAGCTGCAAACCCCCTAAATCCAGGAGGAAGGAGAGAACAGTGCAAGCTCCCCTCAGGGAGCCCTGTGCAGGGCACAGCCCACCAGACACCTGAGCCAGCACACACATAATACTGACACTTTTATTGTCGTTTAAAGCTAGAGTGGCCCCGTAAACACAGAGTTTCACTACTGGACCCTTAGGCAGTGGCTATACAGGTAGTAGATCCCA